GGCAACCAGGGATTGACGGCAGGAGGGAGCGGGCGGGACTTCATGGTTCCAGGGACAGGGCAGGACGTTTTAACCCTAGGGTAGCCGTGGGCCAAGTCCGTAGGCTGGGACTGAGGTCACGCAGGGGGCATGCCTCGGAATGCCAGACGATCAAGGTGTGGGCGAGGCTTCACGTGGCCCGCCCCCGCCCCCGGCCAGGATTGGCTGCAGGGCCAGAGCGGGCGAGGCATTGGAGCCCAGGGGCGGAAAGGGTCAAGAACTTAGGTAGTGATGGAGGGACACCAGGGAGTGTCCTGGGAACCCCGCTCCCTCTATCTGCGGGAGGTGGAGGGTGGGACCTGAGACCCTGAGAACTGCCGCAGCCGTTGGGGCGCCATGGGGGCGTGGCTGAGGTATAGTGGGCGTGGCCTGGGACTAAGAACAAAATACGGAATAAAATTGGGGAAAGCAAGGAGAGGGCAAGGTTGGAGAATCCCCAGGTTAAGGTGTAGTGGAGGACTGAGGTGGGGCAGGAAGGGCTCTGGGGCGCCAGGGGTCTGAGTGTAAGAGGTCGAGATCTGGGACCCCCCGCCAAGGACGTGCACTGGGTGGAGCAGGCCACGGTCTGAGACCCGGCAGGGAAGGGGTCGTGGCCTCACCGTGGCCAGGCGCGTCTGCTCCAGCTGCTGCAGGCTGCGCACGTGGCCGGCGAGCAGCGGCTGCGCGCGGGGCCCGGCCAGCTCCGCTTCCACCGCCAGCACCTCCCGCGAGGCGGCGGCGAAGGCCTGGGTCACCTCGTGTACGGTGCTCCGGTAGCGCGGGAAGTCGTAGCAAGGGCCGCTGCGCAGGTACTCGCGGTGGCCTCTGCGGTATGCCGGGATTGAGGCCGCGCCCCCAGGCTCTCAGGCCCTGCCCCCTACCACGGACCGGAAAGGCCCCCAGGGGATGTCCCCGGGCTCCAGAGACTGGAGGACTGGCAATGAGGACGCCTGCTGACTCGCGCAGAGGAACTCGACGAAGGGGAGAGAAGCCACGCGGAGCGGGCCGTCGGGTAGTGGGAACTCACTTTGGGTCCTTTATTTTGGAAGCGAGGATCTGGTCCCTCCGCACTCCCTTGCCCCACATCCCACACGCGGCCGCGCGGGGCCCAGCCCTGCCCAGGATACGCCCATCACGAGCACGCCCACCCTCGGAGCGGGCTCGGGGCCTAACCGCGCGCCCCTACGCGCCCCCGCGCCCGCACTCACTCCTCCAGCTGGCGGAAGGCCCGCGCGCGCTCAGCCTGCAGCTGGTGGACACGCTGCACCAGCGTCCGGACCGGGGCATCTTTCTGCGGGGCGGGGGGCACGGCTGGGGCATGAAGCTGGCGCCCCTGGGCCGGCGCTGCCCACCCCGCGCCCGTCCCCGCTCGGGCCCGGGCTCACCCAGGGCCACCCCGGCTCCTCGCGCCCCGGGGCTTCAGCGGGCGCCTCAGCACCAGGCAAGGCGATGAGCGCCGACTTCGCTGCGGCCTCGGTGGTGATCATGACTGCGCAGCCTGGGCCACGCTCCGGAGCAGGCCCTTCCGCTCCGCCCGGCGCCCCCTGCAGGCCGGGAGGTCTAGGGACCCCAGCCTGAGGCCCGTCGCCCGGAAACCTCCGGGCAGAAAGGGGAGCAAAGACCTCCCGCTGCCCAAGCCCTCCACTTCCCACCCGCCCTACTCTTCCGTATCCGTGCAGCGCCCGCCGCCTGTCCTGTTTCCTTGAATGTTTGAATACAGCAGAGCTGTTGGCTCTTGTTTCTGTATGTGCCTGTCGCAACAATGACTTTGACAGCAAGTGGCATTTGAGCGCAGTTCTGGCGTCGCGGAACCCAGCCGACTTAGTTTAACAAAGGTTCACTGGCTCTCCAGATAATCACAGGGATGAAAAACTAATTCACTGGCAGGTACTGTGCGAAATGCCCATCAAAAGCGAGCTGCGCTGGTCACGTTGCACAAGGCCGAGGCGGACCCTGGGCCAGGAGGGCCTCATTTAAGTGCTGAGGCGCTTTCTGCTGGGGGGGGATGCCTGGCCTGCGATGAGCTTCGGAAAACTTCCTCCTCCAGGGGCCCACAGGGAGGAGCAGGAAGATGGTGGCCAGGCACAGGACACAGGGACCAGCTGAGGCATGGGGTGAGAGCCTCCAGCCTTTAGGTGGCACTCTAGGAAGAAAAGGGACTAGGCTGTTCTCAGGCATCATTGGCCATGAGTTGGCTCACCCAGAGGCCCAATCAAAACTAAACAGGAAGTAGGCCCTGTTCACCCAACAAGATAGGCTTTGCTAAGGCCCATGCCCAACTCACAGAAGCAACACTGTTTTAAAAACACCAAGGTGTGCCCCTCTGACACTGGTATCATTGGTTTCGGGGGCTCCTGAAGTCCAGACAAAACTGAGAAACAGTGTTTTACACCAGGGCCAAAGGCCTGAGGGACACTTTGAAGTACCTGACTAGATCCCAGCCAATGACATGGTTGACCCTCAGTCCCAGTCCAAGGACTGGGGTCTTTATTCCCATACGAAAGATGACGAATTCCAGGCCCTGGGGAATCACTAGTACATTTCAGACCGAAACTAGCTCTCAATTTGGTTATGAGAAGCCCTGTCAGATGTGTAGGGCAGGAACCACTGGCCTGTTCTACGGAATCCAGAAGACCCCACGGGGGTGACAGAGAATGGAATGCTGGGTAGGGTTCCTAAGGAAGACGCCCACTCTTCCGTCACATCCCTGGACAAACCAGCCACGTGGACACCAGTTACTGCTCCAGTCAACGAAAGGGAAACTTTATTGAGGCCCCAGGGTCACGGGGCTTGGGCAGGAGGCTGCCCTGTGGGGAAAGGAGGAGGAGCCCATAGAGGGGCCTTATTTGACCTTCTTCTTGGGGCGTAGGTTGTTGGTGTGGCCGCACTTCTTCTTACGGCAGTTGACAGCACGGGGGTGCAGGCGAGCATAACATCTGCACAGGGACAGAAGGGGCCAGTGAGGGCACACCCTGACCTGGCCAGGCGCCCCAGCCCCCCAAGCATCTGGGCACACATACTTGCGGCAGATCATCTTGTCACAGTTGTATTTCTGGGCGAGCTGGCGGAGGGAAGGCTCAATGATGCCACCTCGCAGACGAAGCACCAGGTGCAGGGTGGACTCTTTCTGAATGTTGTAATCCGAAAGGGTGCGGCCATCCTCCAGCTGTTTGCCCACAAATATCAGACGCTGCTGGTCAGGTGGGATGCCTGAGGGGAGAGAGAGGAAGCTCAGTCACTGAGGCTCTGCCAAGCATGTTACTGGCTATGGCAATGCCTCCCTGCAGGGTGCTCCAGCACCACCCCAATGTCTCAAAAGGCAAACCGAGGAAGAGAACTATCTCTCTTCCCAAGGTCACATAGAAGTATGGGCAGAGCTAGGGTCTGTCCAAACCCAGCACCATCCTCCAAAGGACAAAGGCTCCCCCGGGCCCAAGGGGCTCCCAGTAGGTCGACAGAACTTCCAGACCCAGCCCAACTCACCCTCCTTGTCTTGGATTTTGGCTTTGACATTCTCGATGGTGTCACTGGGTTCAACCTCAAGGGTGATGGTCTTCCCTGTCAGGGTCTTCACAAAGATCTGCATCTCTGCGTCTGCTGGGGGAAAGGGAGGAAGTGATGAAGTGGTAAGTGCTGCATGCCTAAGGGGCACAAGCTCAGGTGCTGGCCAGGCCTAGCCCCCGAATGCTAGCTCTATGCCTGCACTGACCCCAACCATGGGCCCCAATGCCTGTCTTCCTACACACCCTGGCTTGCAGCCTAAATATGTACTGTAACTAAGGACTATTAATACATTTTCTCCATCCTGGACTGTTGCGCAAGTGTTCACGGAAACAAGGACTATGATTATGTCCCTCAGGCTTAGCAGGAGGAACTCATTTATGTTTGCTACTGGAATATTAACGACCTTGGGGCACCATCATGCCGGGTGTATCTTCCCTGAGCACCGTCCCATCCTCCCCTGCCCCAGCATGCTCCTGGTCTACTACACAGGCTGCCCTTGCTGCCAGCCTGGATGGAAATCCTGGCTCAATAGCCACCCACCTGCCAACACACACGCACTGTTTGCTCTCAAGGCCCCTCTCCAAACTCCAAGCTAGGACAACCAACACCCTTACCTCCCTTCTCAATTATGCCAAACTCTCCAGACCCCACTTCGTGCATGTGCTCCAACCCACAAACAATAATGCCTACCACTCTGTATCTACCAACTATGTGCCGTGCAGTTTACATATAACACTCACTTAAAAGTAGATTAGGAAAAAGTCTAAAAGACAAGCATAGAAAAAGGAGGCAGGCACCAAAACCCAGCTCGAGAGACTTAATACTTCTAAAGAAATTGGCGCAGTGACTAGGACAAAGTTAACGCTACATACTTAGTATATCCCTCCTCCTATTAACTCGGCTCAGGAGGACTCATTGCCGCCCCGAAGCCTCGTAAGGTCGCCAGGGCCGGCGGAGAGGGACAGGGCCCTTTCCAAAGCCGCGTTGACCTCCTGGGCCCGCGTCTGGGCTCGGAGTCTCGGCCTCACGTGCCCCGCTCCGCCACCCGCCAAGACTAACCTAGACCGGCAGGCTCAGGCCCACCCCATCCGCCGCCCAGACCCCTGCAGTCCCCTGCAGTCCCCCACCCGTCCCCGACCGGCCGCCAACGCGCACGGCCGCAGCCACCAACCAGCTCCGTCGCCTCGTTGAAGAGAAAGAGGGCAGCGGAACCGGAAACCGCCGATTCGCCGCCGAGAGCGCCTGCGCACGGAACACGCCTACGTCACAATCCGCGCCGCGCGTCGGGCCCCGCCCCCGGCCTGCCGCCATCTTGGGTGTTGGAAAAAGAGGCCGCTGTGCATGTGGGCGAGCACCGCCCACCTGCTTCCGGCTGTTGGTCCCGCCCGCCGGATCACGTGAGGAGCCAGCCACACCTCTCCAGGTGTTTAGGGGCCACTATATCTGCGTCACTAACAACTGCTGACACTTAGCGGCCGTTCTGGGAATACTTGAACAGAATAGAGAAGATTGTTTTCTGCTAAAGCAAAGATATTAAACAGAGAGCCTGCGGGTCCAGGAGCAGGGGTTGGGGCAGGGAAGGTAGGAGACCCCTGAGAGCCACCTAACACCCAGAGTCGAATATTAGAAAGCTTTCTCGCCGCCGTTCACGGGTTGATTTCAAGGCAGCATGTACTGGAGCAGGGAGAGCAGGTGGGACTGGTGCATTCGCCCAGGGAAAGGTGGTGGGACCCAGTGTGTTCTGAAGTAGGACCCAGACTCATGGGAAGTTGAAAAAGTGCAGGGCGGGGAGGAGGGGAGAAATGAGAAGTTATTAGTACTATGAGTATAGCAAGGTACCTCTTTATTTCCTTGAGTATTTCCCAGTGCTACTATGTACCAGGCAAAAGCAGATACATATCTGAGAAGATGCCTTTAACAATACAATTTCTAAGTGCTCCAAAGAGGAGGCATCTATGAAAGCGTGTCTGATGGAGAATGGGACCCCTGTGGCAGCGTGGCTCTCTGAGTTCACCCTGGGGCTGCAATCTGGAGAAGGAATTATTCAAGGTGTGGGAACAGTGTTGTGAGCAGCAGGAACAGCATATGCAAGGGCAGTGATGGAATTTGGGTTGTTGCAGCTGCCACCATGGGGACTCCCACCAAGAGCAGCCACATTTCTAGCTCAGTGGTGCCTGTCTGTCTGCATGCCCCTCCAGCAGAGCCCTAAGCCCCACTCCAACATTTATTCACCTTTTTTGTTTGTTCTTTGTTTTTACCCAGAGCCACGCCCAAGGTGAAAGGAAGCCACAGCTAGGTGTCCTCTTCTCTTTTTAGTAACGGAGTCTTTTTATTGATAACTTCCCAATAACATCTGTAAACATCGGGTACAAAAATATTCCGTCAAACTCTTTTACAAGGTGGCTGGGCTTGCTCCGTGGAGGCCCTGGGAGAGGCTTGCTGGGCCCTCAGGTTCCACACCTCTGTTCATGCAAACACAAGCCTCATGAGGCCCAGGGCTGGATGGATGCTCAGCCTCCAGCTCGAGCCTTCTACCTGTCTCAGAAGCCTTGAGACACCAACTGGAGAAAGTATTCGATACTTCTATTGAAGGAAGGGTCCAGGAAACCAGAATTAGTGGGTGCAGGAGCGGGCTGGGGTGAGCTCAGACATGACAGTGCTTGTTCACATCAAGGAGGTCCTGACCAGGAGGCAGGAGACGTCTGGCTCTGGTCTCTGGGGACCTCTGTATTATTATTAAGAGCATACCTCAGGCCTGGCTCTAGAAAAGTTCCCTTGTACCCAGCTGGGGGGGCCGTGCCCTGGCATGACAGAGGGGTCTGCAGAAGAGAGGCATTCTGAGGGAGGAAGGAGCTGCAATTAAAGATGCCCAGGAATTCCACACTCCTTGCAAGGGAGCCCTGTTCCACCAGGAGCCCTAGTGACAGAACAGGGTGGCAAAGCTGATGATCGTGAGGCCACCTCAGACACCTGGGAAAGATCACCACTGCTCTGAGACCCCTCGAGGCACTGGACAGCAGGGCTACTCGCCCAGGATCTCCTCGTCGTCTGTCTGGCTGCGGCCATTGACAGCAGGGGAGCTGGGCCGGACATGGGAGAGGTCCTCAAAGCCAGGGCTGAGGGAGGGCGAGACGGTGTCGGGGCTGGTGTCACATGAGCCCGTGCTCTGTTCCGAGGTCGCAATTGTGGTCGTGGTGCTGGGTGGGATGGGGTCTTCATCCTCGTCCTCCAGGAGGGATGCCTCTGGGATATCTGGGAGGAGAAACAGGAGTTGGTTCAGTCACCTTGCCAGGCACTGTGATAGGGGACTTACTGTGAATGTGACCCTGGACAGCTCCCCCCGCCCCACGGGGCCGTGACTCGGCCCATTTTACAGAGGAGAAAATGGAGGCTTAGGGAGGTGAGAGGCCTCCCTTCAAGGTGAGGTGAGTTAAGGACATAGGCTCTGGGGTTGGGCTAACATGGGCTCTGGCTGTGAGCCTGCCTCTGTCATCTCTCTCCGCCACTGTGTCACCTGGGCCAGGCACCTCACCTGCCCTCACCTCAGCTGCCTGCTCTTACTGTAAACTGTGGTCGTCAGCAGCCCTGGATGGTCAGCTGTTGGCCCATTTGACAGATGGAATAAACTGAGGCTGAGTGTAGGGAACCCTTTGAGGTGGTGACCACATGGAGTGACAATCTAGAGTGCACTCAAGCTCTCCAGCCAGATACCTGAGAACTCACCCTGCCCTTTCTGGCTGTGCATCCTCTGACACAGGCGTTTTCCCTGTGGGCCTCAGTTTCCCCCTCTGTGAAATAGGGACACTCATAGCCCCCACTTTACAGGTGGCTATAACGGCCTGGCTCATAGGGGTATGTGGCACCCACTGGGACAAGGTTTGTCATCATTCTTGTCCACATTCCCCTGTGTAACCTGCCCCCAAGCAACGGACCCTGGTCCTCATGTCTGCTCCGCAGCCTGCTGAGGGGACCAGGCCTGGCCCCGACCTACCCTGCCCCTGTCCCAGACCTCCCTGGATCCACTGCCCTCCAGGGTGTGGTCTCGATGTCAACCTGTGGGGTGGCCTTCCAGAAGCCAGCCCTGGACTGAGGGTGCTGACATCCTCAGGCACAGAGGCCAGATGTGGGGTGCAGGAGCCCTGGGTGACACTTACGGCTGAAGGCCTCCGGGTGCTGCCTCGCCAGCTTCCCTTTCAGTGTCCTGTGGGGAAGGAAGGCTCGTGGGGCCAAAGCTGCCGAGCAGACAGGACGGGCCTGGTGCTGGCCGGGAGCCCTTGCTGCCAGCTCTGGAACCTCCCTCCCTGTTCGTCGTGTCACATCCCCTTCTTCCCGGGAGACCCAGGTGCTGAGCCCAGCAGTCAGGGCTCTAATAGTCCCCCAGCCCCAGCAGACCTCCTGCCTCAGGGTGGGCACCAACCACCCAGTGGTCCCAGAGCCCGGGCACTGGCTGTGCCTTCTCCATACAAGGCCCTTCTCACATCTCAGTTCCTCTACCTGGATAGCCTTCTTATTTTAGAGACAGGGTCTCACTCCGCTGCCCAGGCTAAAGTGCAGTGATGCGATCACCGCTTACTGCCACCTCCAACTCCCAGGCTCAAGTGAGCCTCCCGAGTAGCTGGGACTACAGGCGTGTGACTACCACGCCTGGCTAATTTTTATATATTTTTAGAGACGGGGTCTCACTACATTGCCCAGGCGACTCCTGGACTCAAATGATCCTCCCACCTCGGCCTCCCAAAGTGCTGGGATTACAGGCACCATGCCCAGCCCCAGACCACCTTTGAGGAATCTTCCACACCCCTTTCTCAGCAGTCATTCCTCTAGGCAACCTGTCCCAGCATCGTCCCTCCATACGTGGGCTGAGGCCCAGTGAGCACACAGGAGGAGGCAGGACTGCTGGCTAAGGGGTCACAGTACCCACTCCCCAAACACGAAATTCTGGCACTCAGTAAACTGAAGCTCACAAACAATGTTTGCTTCCTTTTTTTAACTTCTTATTTTTAAGAGATAGGGTCTCACTGTATTGTCCAGGCTGGTCTCAAACTCCTGGCCTCAAGGGATCCTCCCACCTCAGCCTCCCAAGTTGCTGGGATTACAGGGGTGAGCCACCACACCTTATAAAAGGATACTCCTTTTATAAAATGGGCTGATTTTTGTCCAGGTTCAGTGGCTCACCCCTGTAATCGAGCTACTTGGGAGGCTGAGGCAGGAGGATTGCTTGAGGCCAGGAGTTCAAGACTAGCCTGGGCAACATAACAAGACCCTGTCTCTACAAAAAAATTTAAAAATTAGGCCGGGCGCAGTGGCTCAAGCCTGTAATCCTAGCACTCTGGGAGGCCGAGGTGGGTGGATTGCTCAAGGTCAGGAGTTCCAGGCCAGCCTGAGCAAGAGCGAGACCCCGTCTCTACTAAAAATAGAAAGAAATTATCTGGACAACTAAAAATATATATAGAAAAAATTAGC